ATCCCAGGGTCCTGGGATCGAGCCCACATGGGGCTCCCTGCTCAGTGGGGAGTCTGCTCCTCCCTCTACCCCCCTCCACTGCAGGTGCACGCTTGCTCTCTCTCAAATAATAAGTAAAATCTTAAAAAATAAATAAATAAGGGGCGCCTGGGTGGCTCAGTCGTTAAGCATCTGCCTTCGGCTCAGGTCATGATCCCAGGGTCCAGGGATCGAGCCCTGCATCGGGCTCCCTGCTCTGCGGGAAGCCTGCTTCTCCCTCTCCCACTTCCCCTGCTTGTGTTCCCTCTCTGGCTGTCTTTCTCTCTGTCAAATAAATAAAACCTTAAATAAATAAATAAATAAATAAATAAATAAATAAATAAATAAATAAATAAATAAATAAGGGGACAGATGGGACTGGCCCTGCCTCTTCCTCCTTTTTTTTTCTTCTCCACCCCCCCCCCCCCCCCCACGCCTTGACTGTGGAGTTGACTATGAACCAAGGTTGAAGTCCCAGCAACCACCTTGCAAACTGTGAAGACAAAAGCTGGGGCCAGCTGCTAGCAATGTTGGAGCGGAGAGATGGAAAGAGTGTGGTCCTGGGGGAGGACAGCCCCACCTCCAGATTTCTGGTTATGTGAGAAAAGTCAGCTCCTCTGAGTTTAATCTCCTGTTCGCCGGGTACTGTGCTACCTGCAGATGAATTTATTCCTAACGTGCCGTTCTTACCCGGACACACCTTGGACCTGCCTCTGTAGATGAATGCGGGTACTCACACAAGGCTTGATGACTTTTAAAGGCTCTCACTTTTAGGCGCCCCAACAGTCATTTCGGGCTACGTCCTCAGTCGGGATTCTCGGTTGTAAGCGGCAGACACCCAGCCTTGGGTAACAAAATGAGACAAGGCAGTTTGGTGGATGAGACGGGGCAGCCCACGGAAGTCACAGGAAGCCGGTGGGCCTTTCCCGGGCGGGGGACAAGAACCCAAGGAAGCAGGCGCCCAATGCAGGTGCACCCAGCGTGGTCCGGTTGTGGGGCCTCCTGGCATTGAACCCCCTGCTGTGGGCCCCGAACTCTCGGTGCTCTGCCAGTGATCGAAAAAATCGGAGTCTTTTCTATCACTACCCCTTCCAGAACGGTCGGCCGTGCTTGCGGAGGCTGGGCTGCAGGGGCGGGGGTGGAGGGCACAGCCGGCCGGCGGGCTTCAGGCTTCAGGAAACCGTCGGCGGCAGGCAGTGCGAGCAGCGCCGCGCGGGGTTTCTCTTCCGACTCCCGGCTCTGAGCACCCCAGACGTCCGCGCCGTGTCCGCGCTCGCCTCTCGACCGGTCCAAAGCCGCCGCGGCACCTCCGGACCTGCAGCTCGGCCCCACACGGCTGGAGAGGACCGAGCGGGATGAGCCCCAACGTCAGGGAGCACCGTGTTCTGACGGCTGCGGCCTGGGTTGTCTGGCCAGCCGCCTGCAGGGCAGGCAGCCCGGGCCGCCGGGCCGGCGCTGAGCCAGGCGGCGGAGGCGGGCTGCGGGGCCTGGGTGGCGGCGGGGAAGGCGCGGGAAGCCCCGAGCGCCCCCGAGCGCCCCCGAGCTTCAGGGCCAGACTGTGGGGTTCGAATCCAGGCTTCGCCACTTAGCAGCTCGGCCCTCCGGGTCCAGCCGCTCAGCCCCCGGGGCGTCCGTTTGCTCGTCCCCGTGGTGGGGCTCCGGGTGCGGGAGCTCATTTGTCCATAATGGTGGACACCCGTCAGTCCAGGAGGCCCGCTCAGGCACCACCTCCCCGGCGGTGGCGGGCGTTACGGGCCAGGTGGCATTGTCCCCTCGGCCCCCTCTACTTCCCGGTGAAACGCAGACTGAAAGCTGCGGCTTCCTTCGCCCTCGCGGCCGCCCTGCGTGCGGGCTGTGGCGCTGGGTCCGCGGCCCGCCGGCGGCGACTCGGCCGCGGGGCAGCCCCTCCGCCTGGGAAGCGGCTCCCCGGCTCCGTGCGCGGGCGCAGGCGTCCTCCAGGGCACCGGCGGGCGGAGGACTCACGACCTGCCTCAGAAGTGCCGGCCATCGCTTCTGCACTGTTGCGTGGGTCACACAGACCTAGGCTGGGCCAGCGTGGGAGGGTCCGCAGGGACATGCATACCGGGAGTGGGGCCACTGGGGCCATCTCGGCGGTGGCCCACCATCCGCTGCTGCGGTGGGTCTGCTTTAGAAGCTAATTAGCAGTTTTGTTATTTGTTTATTTATTTTTTAAAAGATTGTATTTTATTTTACGTAATCTTTACCCCCAAACACGGGGCTCGAACTCACAACCCCGAGATCAAGAGTCATGAGCTCCACCGACTGAGCCAGCCGGGATCGCCGGCCAGGATCGCCAGCCACTTCTGTTGTCAAAATGCCTCAAGTCCATCCTCAAGTCCACTGAAGGAGGCTGAGGGCCATGTCTACAGCGCAGAGGGTGGTTCTTCTGGAAACTGTTCTGGGACGTCTCCCTCCAACTCAGATGGCCTCAGCCTGTCCAGTGTAGACAAGTAATTCCCTTGGATACTTTCCAGATTTCTTTTTGCTGAAAATATTAATTTGCTGAAAACAAATCTCTTTCTGTGACTCCCTCAGATCTTGCCTGTCTTGGTGATTTAGGCAAAAGAACGATCCAAACTGTTCCTGCAGCCTTGTCAGGCCCAAGGGAAGGTCAACGCCTCCCCCCGCTCCCCAGTCCCCAGACCGCCTGTGCCCCTGGGAGGCATGGACAAGAGAGGCCAGGGGCCAGGCCCTGCTGCCTGACCGGGGCCTCCTGGACTGATGGGTGTCCACCATTATGGACAAATGAGCCAGCTGCCAAGGACAGCACCAGCTCTGATGACACCACATGGGGAATGGCCCAGAGCCAGACTATGGAGCATCCGGGAGACAGGAACGGGGCCTTCATCGCTGGGGCCCCATTACATCAGCCATCCAGGGTCAGGAGATAATTTGTCAGCTCTCTGCCCCACATGACCCCTGTGGAAATCAAACAAGCAGTCTTGCCCATTTTTAGAGATAAATTAAATGCATCAATATAAAAAAGTCAGGCAGCGATGCAGAGGGGAGAGGGTAGAGAGGTGGATGGAGCTGTGATTTATCGGCTCTTTAATCAGTATTTCTGGGGCTGCCCTGGCTGCCTCCCGTCCATCGCACGGTGCCTGAGAGCCTCTCCACTGAGGTCATAAGTGGAGCTGCCACTCCGACTTGCCACCCGCTGGCCAGAGGCGGATCCCCTCCCAGCTGCTGTCTCGGGAGCATCACATACAAACTGCGTTGGGAGCCAAATGGGGAAGAAGTGAGGGGCAGGCAGGGAGGGGCTGTGCCGCTGGGACAGTCTCACCAGCTACCCTGGGGCCAGTTCCTGTGCAGCAGGGTACGGCTGAGCGCCCGCAGTACCACACCCGGGCTTCAGCAGCCCAGGAGCCTAGAGGGCGCCCGCGGGCTGGACGCCCTCAGTGGGGCCACTGCCCTCCCTGCCACCATGGGCGCCTTTCCCCTGCACCCACCCTGTAATGTGTGGCAGTCTGCTAGGGGAGAAAGGACACCTTGCAGCTGTTGAGGCTTCCTGTCTGAGTTTGGGGGGCTGGAGCGCTGTTTCGTTCTGCTGGGGTCACAGTGGAAGGTCTGCTCACAGCCATGGCCTATGTTTTATTGAAGTGCTGCTGGTTTTCCTCACTAATAAAGACCCTCTGATGTATTGAGAATGTTAACATTTTGTCGTGTATGTTCTACATAGCAGCCCAGTTTGTTGCTGCATACTGGTTCTGGGGTGGGGCTGGGAAGAGGGTTGGCCTTGATCTGAAAGGTTGCCTACAGATTAATGTGGATTTATATTCACTACTTTATTGTCAACCAGTAGTTAGGGAGGGCCTCCTGGGAACTTCAGGATACAGCTGGAAACACAATGGGCAGAAAGAACTCACATCCTAGTGGAGGGAAACAGACTTAAAAACAAGGAAACTGCAGTGTGTGTGGAGGGGGATGTGAACTATGGAGAAAAAGCTGGGAGGGGGTCGAAAGTTTAAGTAGAGGCAGGAGGAGGCCCCTTTGAGAGGACGCCATTTGAGCAAAGATTTGAAGGAGGAGATGGGGCACCTAGATGGAAGGGAAAAGAGGGTCCCCAGAGGCATGGACAGTGCAAAGGCCCTGGGGTGAGCACAGGCCCAGCTATATTCCAGGAACTGCAGAAAGGCCAGTGTACCTGAAGTTTGAGCTTTTGGGGCCATGAGATGGTGGGGGACAGAGCAAGGAAGTGGTCAGATGAAATGGGGCTGTGGGTTCCTGGGAGGACTTCGGCTTCTCCTCTTTAGGGGTGGGTGGGCAGTCATCAATTCTCTAGCAATGCAGTGTGGACAGCTGAGCAGGATTCCCAGTTTGGGTAGAGAGCACTGAGGCTGGGAGCAGGGTGACTTACAAAGGTTTATCTCCCCAGCCCTGAGGCCACCAGTCCCTCTGAGGACCTCCCTGTCTGCCCGCCCTGCCCTCCCTGTCTGCCAGGGCCTGGGGCTCCTAAGGCACGTCCAGGGGAGCAGAGGCCCCAGCGCGGTTAGACATGCCCCCCCCTCCCCTAACCAGGACTGTGCAACAGAGAGGAGGGGGGGAAAGGGGATGGAGTGGTGCTTGTCCCTGAAGCGTGGCCCCCATTGTGCACAGGAACGAAGTGTTATCGGTCCTGTCGCCCATGCTCCTCCCCAAAGGGCTCTGCGCACCGAGCTGGGCTCCCTGGAAGAGAGAGGGGGCAGCACCTGCTTGGCCCTGTCCCTCAGCCCAGTGTCCTTCCTGGAGGCCGGGGGCTGCCCCGGGGCCTCGCACTCACTCTCCGTCATCCGTCAGCTGGGGCGGGATCACAGGGGGCTTTCTGTGCGCTGAGGCTGCGGGTCCCTGCGGCCTTTGTGCAGAGCCCCGCCCCGGCCACCTGGGCAGGCCCGAGGCGGGGGCGGGGGCCGGAGGGGACGGCCGTGCGGAGGTCGGACCCCGCGAGAGACCCGGCTCCCGAGACAAGGGGCAAGGTCCTGTCCTGGAGGTCCAGGGTCCCCGCCGGCCTTTGGAACCCGTCATAAGTTATCTCCGCGTAAAGGGCGGGGGTCTCAGGCGCCCTTGATTTTATTAGTTACTCCCTGAAGCAGAGCTGACCTAATGGAAATTCTCCCAAAGCCTATTCTCGAAACCTCTCCTCTCGGCTTCGGGGCTGGGGCAGGGGGAGGCAAGGGGAGGCGGGGCCGCCCCGACGGGGACCCCAGCCGCTGCGGCCTCGCGGGCCCGGGGACGCCTTTGTCTCACAGAATGCGCGGCCAGATGTCGCCCCGCGCTCTCCGAGGGGGCCGTCTCGTAAATTCTGCGTCTCCCTTTTGTACCGCAGCGCTGATTCTCCTACAATAATGACGTTTCCGCGGCAACACAGCGCTTCCTCCTCCTGGTCCAGGTTAGAGGGTCCGGGCGCCCGGGGCCGAGGAGGGGCGGGCGAGCACCGACCCCGGGGCAGCCCGGCGAGGCCGGCGGGGGGGAGGGGGGCGCACCCGCCAGGAGGCAGGAGCCCGCCCAGACTTCCAGCACAGGCCAGGGTCGCACCCCACGCGAGGACCCCGGGCGCCCCGGGGAACCCGAGGTCAGACGAGGGCGGCCCCCTTGTGGCGGGGGCGGGGCCGCAGTAGGGCCCAGTGCGCACGCGCCTGCCGCCCCGCCCACCGCGCTCCCATTGGGTGCTGGGCCACCGCCCCGCGTGATTGGCCCAGGCTGCCGCCCTGTCGGCCAATGGACGCGCGGCTCCTGGCGGGCCGGCCGGCGGGGGCCAGGCAGGCCGCGGAGGCTGGGCGGGCGAGCTTGCGGGTCCGCGGGGTCGAGGCGCGGGGCGGCGGGGCCCCTGCTTGAACGCTCCGGCTGCGGTCCTTGAGTGGGCGAAGTGTGCCCGCGAGTGAGTCTGCGATCCCCCCGTAACAGACCTGTGCACAGAACCACAGTCTGCCCAACCGGAAAGCCCCCCACGTTGGCCAGGACAGCCCGGGGCGACCCACGCAGGGCGTCCCAGTCGCCCCCGCCACCTCTGCTTGCCCCTAGCCATCATCCTGTCGATCCAAAAACCAAGGCTACACTTGTAAAAACCAGCAGCGTCACCAAAGATCAGCGGTGGTGGGGTTGGCGGTAAAGACAAAATGTTTTCTTCTCTGTCGTTTATAAATTATCTTCAATGAACATATAATTAGTAATGAAAATGTTACTTTTTAGGGGCGCCTGGGTGGCTCAGTGGGTTAAACGTCTGCCTTTAACTCTGGTCATGATCCCAGAGTCCTGGGATCGAGTCCCAACTTTGTGCTCCCTACTCTGCCGGGAGTCTCCCTCTCCCTCTGCCTCCCCCTGCTTGTGTGCGCAGGCTCTCTCCCTCTCAAATAAATAAATAAAATCTTTTTAAAAAAGGAAATACTACTTTTTGAAAAAGTTAATGCCACAGTGTGATAATAATAATGCGAAGAGAAGGAACAGGTGGTGATGGGGACGTAGAGAAATTGGAGGCTCCTGCGGGGCTGGTGCAGCCCTTATGGAAAACAGTCTGTCCCCCGTCGGAGCGCTGAAGATAGAATTAGCCGCCCCGCCCCCCCGGCTATGTGTCCCGAGCACGTGAAAGCAGGAGCTCCCACAGATCCCGGTGTGCCAGTGCTCATTGTACCACTACTCACAATAGGGAAAAGATGGAAACAACCCAGGCGTCCCTCAACAGACGAAGGGATAAGCGAAATGCGGTCCGGCCACACAGCGGAATATTATTCAGCCTTAAAAAGGACGGCCATTCTGACATGGTGCCACATGATGAATCTTTTTTTTTTTTTTAAGATTTTATTTATTTGACAGGGAGAGACACAGCGAGAGAGGGAACACAAGCAGGGGGAGTGGGAGAGGGAGAAGCAGGTCTCCCGCTGAGCGGGGAGCCCGATGCGGGGCTCGATCCCAGGACCCAGGATCATGACCTCAGCCGAAGGCAGATGCCCAACGACTGAGCCACGCAGGCGCCCAAATCTTTATTTTTTTTAAAAGATTTTATTTATTTGAGAGAGAATGAGCGAGTGAAAGAGAGAGAGAGCACAAGCAGGGGGAGTGGGAGAGGGGGAAGCAGGCTTCCCGCCGAGCAGGGAGCCCGATGCGGGGCTTGTCATGACCTGAGCCGAAGGCAGATGCCCAACGACTGAGCCACGCAGGCGCCCCAGCTGCTGAAATATTTAAAGCAGTAATATTGGAGATAGTGCGTGCCACCTCCGCTCCGAGCGTGCTCCTGACCCAGGTGAGGCCGGGTTGGGGGAGGACGCGTTGATTACTTCCGGGTGGGCGGGGACGCGCTGCTGAGCAGGTGTGTGTGCCGCCTTCTGCAGCCAACAGGGCCTCACCGGGAAGCACCCACCAGAGGCCGTGTCCACGACGGAGACAAGGCCACTGGCCGCACACCGCACCTGATGGGGATAGAACTAGACCCAGCTCCGGATCCGGTGCTCCCTCCACTCCTCCCCTGCCCCGCCCCCTCGGGCATCTCGGCGGGAACCCAGAAGAGTCACCCCAAAAGGCGTCTTGCTTTTTACTCTCACGGGACAGCCTCCTTTTTGGTTCCTAAGTTACCTCCCATCCAATCAGGAATACGGGCGCCGGGAGGGCGGGGGCGCTGTCCACTGCGTGCGGAGGGGTCCGGAGGGCCAGATGCCGGGGAACCGCCCGCCTCCCCTCCCCGCCGGGGTCCGGCAGGTCGGCCGCCTTCCGGGACGCGGCCGCTGGAGGGCGCCCCCGTACCGCTCCTGCCCACCGGCTGGCTCCTGCCGGGAGGGCCCTCGGCGGCGCCCGAGGTTCATCTCCTGCTTCACACCAGGATGGTAGGCGGAGAGTAGGAGCGGGAAGCCGCGAGACGTCTTGAGACCTGGTCCCCAGACCCGCCAGGCAGCCACTTCCGGCCCCAAGGCTGCACCGCAGCTCCCGGGTAGCGGCGAAAATGCGAGCGAAGTAACCGCCGTCCGTCCCTTCCAGGGCCATGTGCCTCCTTGTTAACCGCTCGGTGCTCAGCTCCTCTGCAAGCAAACCTGGACTGATCTGCCCTTAGAGGGGATGGCTGCGACACGGCCTCAGCGGCCACTTCCTCAAGACATGGTACTAGACGGCCAAGACCCGTCTGGCCCGCCCCCAATACCTCTGTGCCTCAAAGCTCTACCCTAGGGGGAGTGGGGTCCTCAGCAAGTGACCTGCGAGCAAGAACCAAGAGAGTGCCCCCCCCCCCCCCCCCCCCCCGCCCTGGCTCTCCCCCACCTGGCAGGACCTCTGTCTGCAAAGCTGGGCCTGGAATTCAGGCTGCCTCCTCACAGTGGCCTGGCTGGGAAGGGGGCAGCTTCTACACTGATGCCCCCCTGCCATGGGCCTCCTCATCCTCCTCCTCCATAGCCTGGGCTCATTCCTGGACGTGGGATCCTCAGCCAACCCCTAACCCCAGCGCCCTTTCTCAGCCTCTGCCCTGTGGCTCCTGAGTGAGGGTGGATGAAAGTCTCCGGCTGAGCACTCTGTCCTCCATGGCGGCTTACTGATAAGACCCTGTCTGCCTTGGGGCGGGGGGGGGGGGGTGTCTGGTCACAGTCACGTGACATCAAGGGACAGCTGTGGGCTGGCTGCTCAGGGTGGACAGTGAGAGCAGCACTGCGATGGCACGCGATGAGCAAGAGCCCTCTGGCAAGTACCTGTGCGGGGACTGGCAGCCGGGGGGTGGGGGCAGCCTCGCCTGACTCCCTGGGGCCCTGTCCCACTGCCAGCAGCACCAGGAGAAGGAGGGTGTCGAGGAGGTGGCCCTGCTGTCCTTGCTGGAGTCAGGGGACTGGGCGCACTCCAGCAGCTGTAGGGGCTGCCAGGCAGTGGCCAGCTCTGGGTCAGCTGGGTCACAGAGCAGCCAGCCCCTAAATCATTCTGGGCCTGCCCCCGAGGGGGGGCTTCCGCTCCAGGTGGGTGACTGGGGGCCCCAGCTATCACCTCCACAGTCTGTTTCCTCTTTCCTCTGCTCGCTCCCTGGGCCTCCTGGGGCTGTCTCCTCTCTAGGTGGAGCCTCCCAGCTTCCGGAGACCTCCATGCCTGCGTGCGTGCGTGCATGTGTGTGCGTGCATGTGTGTGTCTGTGAGCAACAAAATACCTCTGAAAGGAGCTGGTGTTGGGAAGCTCTGGTGCCCCAAAAGTTTGTAGGGCAGGCGGCTGAGAAGCCCAGAATGCCTGAATCTTAGGTGGAGAAATGGGTGTCGCTCAGCGGGGCAGAGCGGGGAGCGGGCACCACTTACCACTTGCTGAGTCTCCCCCCACAGCAGCCCTGGGCTGGCTTTCTCTTCCTTCACTGTGGGCAGCACCGAGGGTCCTTGCCCCCTAAACAGCAGGGAAAGGGATGTATCCCGCTCCCACCTTCCCCCCGGACTCTCACCCAGGAGACGCCCCAAGAGACAGGTGTGCTGTCCCCTGCCTCTGCTTCCCTTCTTCCTGTGTGCCATGCCCAGCCACCCAGATGGGGCCTGTTTAATTGATTCAATTTGTCCAACAGTAAAAACACTCTGCAGATGTCAGCCTTGCAGCACCCCGCCCCCAGGAGGCAGCAGACACCTGCCAGGGCCCCCGGGCCAGGAGCCCTTCCAGGGGCCACTGGAGCCAGGCTAGGGGGGAGGCCCCTGGCTCCCATGCTGCCTGTCGGGAGCGGAGGCCACCGGGACGTCTGTGACTGAGGACAGCTCCAACAGTGGCACAGAGGCATTCTGAACGCTGATCAGACCAGAGTCTGTCTTTCTCAAGGAATTATGGTTTGTGCGGACTCCCAGCTCCAGGCAGATGACTCCTGTTTTGGTCCAGATGCTGTTCCTGGGCCAGTGTTAGGGTTCTAATCAACTAGGGCTTGGGGGCTTTTCCAGGTCAATGGGCGATGGGAGGGGGGCTGAAGATTCCCTGGGGCCTGGCTGCCCCCTTCCTAGGGCCCCCCTGCCGTGGCCTGGTGGTCTCCTTGGTTGCCACCTGGTGGAAGAAAAGGAGTTGAGCCTCTGAGCTCGCAGCTGGTTGGGGACCTCAGGTCTCTGTGTAGAGATTAGGAGCCCTGGGTCTGCAGCCTGGGCAGTCCGGCAGCCTGTCTGCCCGTGGGGGGATGTGTGTGTGTGGCCGCCACCACATTGGAAATGCTTTCTGGCAGTTTCTAGGGGGAAGGTGGTGAGCCAGGAGGGAGACTCAAAGCTGAACCCCTGAACCCTAGCCCAGCCCAGAGCCCCTATTTCCCTGTGTGGGCCCCCGGCTCCTAGAGCCACCCCTTTGCACCCCAGAGGGAGACCGCTGGAAGAGTGAGTGAAGAGCAGGGATGATTTTTTTTTTTAAAGATTTTATTTATTTATTTGAGAGAGAGAAACAGCATGGAGAGGGAGAGAGGGTCAGAAGGAGAAGCAGGCTCCCCGCTGAGCCTGGAGCCCGATGTGGGACTCGATCCCAGGACTCCGGGACCATGACCTGAGCTGAAGGCAGACGCTTAACGACTGAGCCACCCAGGCGCCCGAGCAGGGATGATTTAGGGAGAGTTGCACAGCTGGCCTGGCCTAGGCAGGGGCTTCTCTCTGCCCCATCCCCCACCCAGCCCCAACTGGGACAGGATTCCTCAACCGCGATTAGGAAAGGACCGTCACGCTGACGATGGTCTCGGGTTAGCCAAATCCGGACACCCAGCTCCCCTCCTCGGCACTCCCCCACGTGCACCCTCTCAGGAAAAACCCGAGCCCTTCTGTCGTTCACTTGTTACATTGTACAAGGATCCCAAGCTCATTTTTTATGGGCTCTTCTCCACAATTCCTAGGAGACCGAGAGAAAGCAAGGGTAAGGGAACCGAGCGACAGAGAACTGAAAGGGCTTGTCCAAGGTCAGACCCTGCACAGGCCTCGTGTCAGGCGGTAGATTCTTTCTCCTGCGTGTGAACAAGTTGGGGGCCGGGGGAAGGCCGGGCCCCCCGAGCGGCCATTTTGGAGGGACGTCAGGCGGCGGCCTGCGGCCCCCCACCAGCTCCCAGGCGGCCCGGGGCCCGGCTCCGGGTGGGGGTCCCGGGAGGCGGGGAGCGGAAGGTGGGGCGCGCGGCGCCGAGGAGGAAAGAACAAAAGGAAGCCCCGCCCCCTCCCCGGCCGGCCCGCGGCGGCCAATCGTCGCGGCCGCTGCGGACGGCGCCCTCTG